TAACGAAAAAATAAAAGATAAGCTTTTTATTTCATTTAACTCTACATTCATTTTATATAAAATCATGTATATTGCTATATACTAATCTAAAATGAGTTATTATTTCTTGAAGTGAGCAAAATGCCTATGATTTATAAAAAAAATACAAGTAGAAAAGTATTTTTTATACATATTACATTCAAGCTGTGCATATTTAGCACTAATTGAAGGATAATGTTTGTCATACTTCATTGATTTTATTGAATCTATATATTATGCAGTATATATTAGATTCAAAAAAATGGTTATCTTTGCCTTAAATTACTGGTAAAAGAAAACCATTTGTTTGTTCAAAAAAAGTGGCAACTTCAGGAGCTCATTTTGTGAATAGCATTCTGAATTTATACATTTTCGTATATTTAAGGAATACTTGCATATTTATGTATAATTTTCAATTCAAGCCTATGGAACCAGTTCAGTAATTTCATTATTACCATCATTGATTTTTGTATTTATCTCAAAAGTTACATTCGATAAAAGAGCTATTTGCTCATCAATATGTTTAAAATAGATAAATTTTCTAAAAATCTTATTACATTACCAAATATTACATAAATCTTCACCGGCATACTAAAAATTTTGTAGTCCAAGTTCTTGATTAACAACTTTTCCTTGAGAATTAAGATGCTTACCAAATTTATCAATAAGAAAAGAAATTTCTGCTAGTTTCTTAGATAAGGATGTCATAGCTCTTTCAACAGAATTGAATGTGGATTATTCTGGGGCATAAGTATGTATAGACAGATAGTCAAGATCTAGTTTTTAAATAGATGATAATATTAATGTATATTTTTAAGATATCAGGGATTTTCGTCTGGTTTTCTATCTACTAATATTACCCAAATCAGTTTGATTATATCATTAATTTTGAAAACATCTTTGTATTCTCTCATTAATGTAAGATTAACCAAATCTTGCATATATGTCAAAGAATTTGTTCCAATATGCTATTGAGATTGTATATAAATCGCAAGCTATTTTACTCTTATCATGTTATTTGAATCAGCCAGATTGATCATTAAATAAACACTTAGAATTAGCTTTTGAGATGCACTAATTGGAAAATCATGATCTTCTACTTCTACAGATTTAGCAATTGATTGTATGGTTTGAAATATATGTCCTATAGCAGGTATACAAATATTAACCTTTGCTTTATCATCCTGAGATATCATAATTATTATATCAGAAAATATGCTTGCAAATGATTTTGATGCCTTTATTGAGGCTAAACAATAATGTGAATCAATGTGTTCTTTCTTTTCACTTCATAAAATATTAGTTATTCCAACTATTGCAGAATGGTAATGAGCTTTTACTACAATAGAATTTCTATTATTTGGTAACATATAATTGTGAAGTGTACTTGTTGATAAGTATTCATTATAATTATTTTCTAATTCCTCTTGTAAATATGTTACTGATTTAACTTTAATTACTTTTTTTCTTCTTTTAGCATCAGTCACACTAAATTCAATTAAATTATGTATATATTCAAGAAGATCAGAATATTCAAAAAATATTGGAAGACAGTCAACATGATTATATATAATTACTTCATTCTCTTCTTTTAAACGCGTTGCTTTTTTTAATCTAGACTTTTGCTGATAATCTGCATTCTGTTTAAGTTTTTTTAAGCTATTTTTTTTTCTTCAAGATCATTTTTTAATTTTTCAATACATATATGAAGATCTTTATGAAGTTGAATATTATTAGTGAAACTATAAAAAGAAATAAATTCTACTAATTTTTTTTCAGCTTCTTTTATTTGATCAAAAATTCTTTTTTGAGAAGAGGTATTTGCATGAGGTAATTTATCTAGTTATTAAGGTGATAATTGAATTATTGTATTTATTGTATCTATAATATCTATATGTAAATTATTGACTGTTTGTGTTAAATATTTTGTATGTAAAACAGGAAATCCTTGTATAGGAACTGGTGTATTAAAAAAATCTTTGATTATTTCTTTAATATTTTTATTTTTTTGTATTTTTCCATTCATTATTTGTTTCATAAAATAGGCTTTTACAATTGTAATCAGGGTTTTTAATTAGAACTATTTGTCTATATTCAAAAGTATTATAAAAATGATGATAAATAGAATTTGATTCTTTGTAACAAAAGTTTTTAATAAATTTCAGAGTTGAAAGATAACTTTGCATTTTGAACTAATATGTGAAATAAACGTAAAAATTAAAATATATGTGTAAAAATTGAAAACTAGGAAAATTAAGGAGTTGCAATTATTTTTTATGATACTGTAAATATGATTAAATAATACAATGGTGATTTAAATCTATCACTAAATAATAATACTAAAAATTTATGTATAAAAATCCATCTTGTACCAAAATCATATATTGCCACCACAAATCAGACTTTTGTTTCTTATTTATATAAACGGATAACTTCATATTTCACTTGTAGAATAACAAAGTTGACATTGTAAAAAGATGATAAATGATTGATATTTTTGATGGATTTTAAGTTCTATTTTTTTTTTTGATTTTATTTAATAATAATGTTTTATGTGAGTAGGCAGGTTCAGATTTTTTAAACCTAATCGATGACTGTAGTTTCACTATACTTAACATAAACACCATTGTTTAAGTCTCCTAATGAGTGTAAAAAAATGATTTCATATTGTATGGGAAAGAGTCATTTTTTGAAACGTAAAATTCAATGACATTGTAAGCCCCCCTTAAAAATATTTCACTATTCTATAAAAGTACTAGGTTGGTTAATTCAATGAAGTTGTGTATCACTTATGCTTAAGGAAAAATATATAAAATTAGAGTTCAGGTCACCTAAATACATATTCTGCAGCTGAATTAATATATATTTTGTATTTTTATTTTGATTGGTTAAAATTAGATATCTTATATAAGAGGAGGAGGAGTCTGTTTCTAATAAAATTATATTACATAATATCTGTGATTCCCCATAATATTATCAAATATTCCTTTCATGAAAGGATTAATATGATATAATTATATATAGATTCATTTTTTTTTTGATATTTATTTATCTAAAGCTAGTAATAATAATATAGTAAATTCATTAAAATTATTAAAATTATAAATATTAAACTTATTTAATATAATTTTTATAATAGTTCATAATAAAAAAATAAATTAATTAATTATACTAATTACATAACATACTATTACATTACTACTAATAATAATTTAATAATTAATATAATTATTTTACATATATTTTAATTAATATATTATAATATAATTTTATTAAATTTTATAATATTTTATAATATTAAATTTAAATTCTTACTTAATGTTAAATTATTTATAGAATCTAATTTTTTTTTATATTTTGAGATACCTTAGCAACAACCTCTTGATTTAATAATTAACTAAATAATATTATTATTAATGGAAGAGTATACCCTGAATTAAATTTTTAAAATAGATCACAAATATAAAAATTTTCAATTATTTTAAAAGAATTTGCCGGTTATTACCTATACTTTTAATAAAAATTGATCAATTTATTAAATTACAACTAGTAGTAAAAATTTATTTAAGCTAAATATTAGATTATATTATTGTATTAATAGTGATTGAAATTTTATATATTAGTTACAAGTATAATTTATTAATTCAGATGAAAGTTCATTTTATTAATATTTACTATTCATTAGCAAGTTAGGCTTTAAAATTTCTAGTTTACTTCTTTGCTAACTTTTTTTACGATAATAATAACTTGCAGAATAATGTCTATTCTTCTTTTTGTCATTCATAATAAAATATTTCTATATTTCATCTCTTTTAGGATCATTTTTTTATTTGTTTTTTGTCGTTTAGATAGATTTTTTTCAGTATTGGATAATGTATTTTCAATATACTTATTATTTTTTATTTCTTTAAATATGAAAAATATTTTATTGATCAAATAACATAAGACAAATTTTACATACTAATATATAGCTTACATTTCTGAACCTTTTTAGTAACATTAGTTATGACAAATATGGTAAATGATATTAATTATGATACATGACACTAGTTATGTTATTGATACTAGTTATAATATATAATACCAATTACAACATATGATAAAATCATATTTTCTATACTATATGCTATCTAAATGTTATAACAATAAGGTGTTGATATGTCTGCATCCTTAATTTAGAAAAGAGAAAGATAGTAAAAATTCTGAGAAAGAATTAGAAATTTTATTTAGACTTTATTTATATTATATAATTTTTTATAATTACAAAATTTTTTTAATTTTAAGAGATATAATTTTATAAAGAATTAATTGTATTAAAAAATTTCTAATTTATTTTTTAAAAAATATATTTTTATAAATTAACTTTTATTAAAATAAAATTTAAATATTTATTATCACTTTTTTTTTTATTATAATCTCTTATTATTTTATTTAAATTAAATATATATTAATTTTAATATTAATTATATTTTAAAATTATTCAAAAAATTTACAAATTGATATTTTCTTTTAAAAAAAAAAAAAAAAAAAGATATCATAAAAAATATTACTAATAATATTTATAGACAATAAATGATGAATTATTAATTTGATAATTTACTAATAATTGTAATAAATGATATCAATTAATTTTAAAACATGATTTTAAATTAACCATTTTAATCTTTCAGAATTTGGTTTAACTCAAAACATAATTTAATTGAAATCATCAAGTTTAAAGAAAATTTAATAAATTTTATTTGGATAAATTACTAAACAAAGGAGAGAGATTGAAAGGCCAAACAAATTAAAATATCCGAGATAGTGTAAAAAAAAAAGAAAAATATCCAAAAATCTTAATATACTCTTAAATTGATTGCATCGATAATATTATATGAAGATATTTAATGTCCTAAAACTTTTGAACCATATCTTACTTTGTGGTTTATTGCAGAACGCCCATATATAAACCATTGCAAATATAAATGTTATGAAAATGTTTATTATTTAATTATTCGTTCTGAACTATTTTTTATATGATCCAAAAGAGAAATGATTTCTTCAAAAAGATCCAAGAATTGCTGAAAGTTATCCAAATCTCCTTCATTATGATGCGAAATTAGTATACTATAAAGAAAAACTGACAAAATTGTCCTGAAAAAAGAAAATAAAAAAATCAATTAATCATATTGAAACCACAATATATCCGAAAATTAAAAAATAACCACCAGTAAAGTGATTGTCCGGCAAGAGATGGTCCAAGCCAAGCCGCAATACTAATTAGAGGATAAGTATTCTGCCCAAATCGACCCTTGCCAATTTTGGATATAATTGGGTGAAATTTTAAATTTGTAACATGTGTTTGAATATTCTCAGTTTCCATCTAGATTTTTTAACAAAAAAATAAATAAATAAAATATGTGAGTCTGTATATAAGCTTTATCATATCTGAATTATTAAGATACAAACCTTATTAGCAATAGATTCAAATTCTTTTACATCCGTTTTTGTTAATTGATTCATGAATTCAAGATATTGTATAATTTTTGTCATTAATGCCGTAACTCTATGCAATAAGCTAACTCTTTGGTCCACTTTCCAAGTCCCATAAGTACAAGCCATCATCAATGGATAAACAAAAATTGTAACCGATTCAACAAGCAACATGTGGGATTCAGCAAATTTTGTAAATATTAATATTTCTTTATCGATCAATATCCATTGAGGACTTTCCATAATTTGAACAATATCGTCTTCGGGTAAATAATTAGTTGAAAATTCAAAATCAGAAAGGTTTTCATTTGAAGTTTGTTCGCAAAGATTAACTTCTTCATTAAGAATAATTGATTCAATTAATGATATTTCTTTTTCAAATGTACTGTATAGCTTATCTTTAATTTCAGAATTTGTTATCCAGCACATTGATACAGCAAAGTTTGTAAATGATTCGTAAAGCTCATTTATCAGTTCCTTTTTAGACATTATTTCGCGAAATATCTCGTGCAATGGGTTAACTTCTTCTTCATGTTCCGGAGTTTTTCCCATACAACGAATATAGTCATATCTTTCTCTAGACCGTTCATCTACCAGAACTGTATAAGCTTCACTTATCAAAATAAATTGATTATTGATATCATTAATGGAAGCCTTATCATGCTTATGCTTATCGGGGTGGCATTTTAAAGCTAGTTTCCTATAAGCTTTCTTTATCTCTTCAGAAGAGGCAGTCGGAGTGATTTCTAAGGCTTTGTAGTAGTCATATTGTGGAAGTGGATTATTCATGTTGAAAATTCAAAAAGTCAAAAGTAACAAAGAGGGTTATCGTCTCTTATTTTGGCGTAGTATATAATCATATGACTAAGCAATATTTGTATTAGCATATAATTTCATATGAAAATGAAATAAATTATTCTCTGCTAATATATAAATGTAAATAAATTCTAACGTTTAAATATTTATTTTGGAGACAAATTCTAAAGTACTGATAAATGTTTTACATAAAACTATGACTTGATACTCAAATTAATTATAAAAAAAGTTGTATTTTCTTTAAGAAGATTTAAGAAATAAAGAATACAAATAATTTATATATCTTAGAAGTTTGCTCATCCTATTGTAATTTTAAATCAAATGTTTCTCATTTACCTAATAAAAAAATTAAAAAAAGCTGAATTTATTATTTATCATATCAAGTTAAAAATATTTTTTAATCAAAATAAAAATTACATATGGCTTTCAAATTATATTATTAAAATTATTAAAATGTAAATTTATATAAGTTTTTATAAACTTAAGTAAGTTTTTATAATTTAATAAATTTTATAAGTTACACTTTTATATTTTTTTATATTAATTAGAAAAAAATATAATTAGCTTTATATTAAATATATTAAATAATATTTTTTAAAAAAAAATCAGATTATTTTAAATAATAAATTTATATATACTACTTGAAGAAAATATTTAAATATAAAAAAAAAAGTTATTTTTATTATAATGAATAACTTGTAAGTCATCCATTTTTATAAATATATTCTTTTATTCTATTTGATATTTTCTACTAATTTTTTATAAAAAGGAATTGGAATTTTTTGTCCATTTCTCTTATAAAAAATTTTTAACTTTAATGCATTTTTTAGATATTATGATTGTTTTTTATTAAGTTTATTCTATAAATGTTTAATTGTATTTAAATCTAAAGATTGAGATGGTCAATTAAATAATATTTTAAGTCTTTTTTTAAATCTATACTTTTATATCTTTAATCATATGAACAGGTACATTATTATCTTAAAATAAGTAATTTTTATCATAAAATTTGATTTTATTTAAGATAACAATTTTTTTTCTATATATTTGAATCTATTATATGTTTTTTCAATCTTACCTAAAAGTTATAATGCTTTAGCTGAAAAGTAACTTTATATCATTACTTTACTATCCTATATTTTACAATAAATAGAAATATCAACAGAATTGATCTAATATTTAACTTTAATTTAATTTATTGTAAAATACAAGCTAATACTAATATTCAACTTTGATTTATTTAATTAATATTAATATTTTATTAATATTTTATTTGATTTTGATATTTAAAAAATAGAAATATATTATCATTTTAGTTTAATTTAGCTGATTGATTATAAGTTAAGTTTAAAAGAAATAGTTTTAATCATATAATTAATTTGATTAAAAGTCTAATTTGATATAAAATTTAAAATATTTAATAATTGAAAATTAAAGTTTAAATTAATAGTAAAAAAAACATAAAAAGTAATTAAATTTTTTTATATTATATAAAGAAATATTCTCTTTCTTTTTTAAAAAATGATTTAAAAAATAAAATATTTCATAAATAATTTTTAATACTTTTTTTATCTAATACCTTACAAAATAATTTATCTTCATCAATACCTTTTCAAAATTATTAAAATATTATTATACTATAGTAAAATAATTATCTTTCATATTTGAAAATAATGATAAATAAATAATAAAACTTCAAAATATTAATATATAAATACTTGAAAACTACAAATTGATAAGTTTAATGAGTTAATTTATTATAACTCATTTTTAAAAAGATAAAATATTATAATAAAAAAATAAAATTATTAAAATTAAAATTTAATTGAAACTTAATAATATTCATAAATTAATATTATGTAATATAATATTATTTAAAAAAATTTTATATATATTTATTTTAGTCTTATTATTATTACATTTACTATTAGATAATTTTATAAAACAAAAGTATAATAATGTAAAGTATTATTAAATATAAAAAATAATATTTATAAAATAAAGAAAAATAAAAAAAAAAACTTTAATTCAATTGATTTTTACAAAAAACAAGGTATACTAGAATTAATAATAGTATAATTTTTCATAAATTGATCTTAAATAAAATTGAATTATCTTTAAAGTCATTCTAGTATTTTTAAATTGTTATTTGTTACCTGATAGATAAACTAAAAGTTTTCATCAAATATTCTTAAAATTCTTGATTTCTATTCTTTCTTAAAGTAAAAAAGAAACTTTAATTAGTCTTCTTATATTTGTATTTTCAGATTTTTAGTTTTACATTTAAATTTCTTATTTATATTAATTTACTTTTTAATCTTTATCTATATTTCACATAATTTTTTCAAAAGGTTTAGTTTTTTAATTATAATTAATCAGATATTGATATAAAACATTAAGATCATACTTAACTTTTTGATTATTTTCCTTTCTACAATTACAAAAATTATTATCACTTTAAATAATATTATTTTTAATATATAAAAATAGTAAAATTAGAAATATAATTAACTTCAAGAATGTAATACTTTTTTATAATCTATAGTCTTATATTTTCAGTTTATAAATTTTTATAAATGGAAGATTTGCTATTAAAATCACATTACAGATCATATAATTTACTATATTTCTAACTTGATTTTAATAGCAATCCTCCTAAATCTTTAATATATAATACAAATATAATTCAATTAGATCAGATTTTCTAAAAATAGATTCTAATGAAATAAGATCTTTAGAGTAGTATAAAAGTCTATGATATACTCTTTTAATAAGTCTTTTTAGAAGTTTATCAATAATTTTTAATTAGAATAAAACATTTTAATTATAATTTACATATTAAAATTTACATGTATAATATATTATAATATATTATTTTGATACTTAATACTGAAACAGAAAAAAGTATAATCAAATTATATAGTATATTATTTCATAATACTGATCACATAATATGCATAATCACAGAATTATATTATTTCAACAACCTCAGATCATCCAAATTTGCTAAGAAAAAATAAACCTTTTTAAGTAACTTTATTATAATATAAGAATAAATTAAGATAGAATTTGATTATCTATTATATTACAAAATTTATAATAATATTTCAAAATCTGATACTTATATGAATATTAAAATCTTGTTTATATCAAAAATGTATGACATTTAATTTTCTTTCCTAAAGCTTCTTATATGATTAATATGAAGTAAAATATAATATAATCCTTTAGAAAAATATATGATCCAAATTTTCTTAAGATGAAACTAATTAGCATACTTTAATGTTTGATCAAAATGCTTTTTAATTCAGAATAGATTCTGTTATCACAATTTAAAGATAACTTCAGGATTAAAATCATCTGATTTTTTAATTGTCCTGTCACAAAAAAAAATGATGTTAATATCTATTATTACTAATTCTATAGGCTGGTAATTTTAAACCTATGTATTATTACAACCAATTATATAGGATTTTTTATACCTCTGCATCATAATACTTTTTCTTAAAACATATTTATTGCACTTAACCTTATTTATAAATAATTCAAATATTTAAAAAGAAGCAGATGGATTTTAAAGTATTATTTTTGATCAAATATACTTCTAAAATGTCTATAGTTTTATTGTTTTACATAGACATATCTATATGAACATTTTACAATAAAAAGAAAGGAAACTACTAAAAAAAAATTAATTTATTTTATAAGCTAAATATTATTTTTTTTTAGTAAAATAAATCCAGATTTAACATTAATTCAAAAAATATTTTTGGTAGTTTTCTTTCTTTTACAGCAAAACACCTATATTAGAATTGAAACAACTAATTTTTAATACTATATATTGATTTTTTGAAGAGATTATTAAAACTGGAACCCTTTATCTCTTTCCTAATGATAATGATGATGATGATGATTATACAGTTAACTCTTGATATAGCAAACTTTTGATATAACGAATTTTTTGAACAAATATAATAAAAATACTCTTGTTATAGCAAATTGGCTAATAAAATCTCTTAAAATCTTCACTATAGCCTTATAGCGAAGTTGAGGTCTAGGACATAGAGTTTGTTATAACAAGAGTTGACTATACATCTTTTTTTTTCTAATAGCTTTCTTTTATAAGCTATCAACTTTCTCAACATCAATCTATAAAGAAAAGCTAGGAAACTCACCTTTTAGAGGTTTTGTTTTTCAGCAACATTAATCTTTTGCTCTAAACTTCATTCTTTTTTTTTTAAATAAGCATATTTACTGATATATATAAGCACACCTTATCACTTTAATAGATAATAAATTGATGATTATTAATAATCAGTAATTTAAAATGATGCAATTAATTACCTACAAAAAGAGATTCAGATCTGTATTTTTTTTTGAAATAAACTTTGAATTACAAGTGATAAAAATTTCTTAATACATTCCTTCTAACATATTAAGATGAAAAAGATCATTTCTATAATCAAAAGAATTGGTATTACAAAAAAAAATAAGAGTCAATACCTATACAGTATCAAAGAAATTTCCATAGATTTAATTAGATGATACTTATAAATAATATGCAAAACCTTATGCAAATTCTTTACTTTCATCATTATTTGTTGATAAAAAACAGACATTTTGAAAGATAAATTAATAATAATAATAAAATTATAAAATACCTTGACCATTTTAATGATTAATTTTTTGATTTCGTCATTATTAAAATTAGATAGTTTTAGGAATTGAACCTTTTTATTTCTTTAGATTTTGATAATGAATTGATAAATCACGATTTGTTTCAGGTGTAAGGTCAATATTATTGTAATATCTAAGACTATTATCATATAATAATAATCAATGTACTATTTAGTATAATATTTATAAACTAAATTATTGCAACTTACTTATTATAGGAACGATCCTTTTTGCACTTCCATTTTTTAATGATTCACAAACATTTACCTTATCAAATCAAATAAAATTAGTTTTTATTTCTAGCGAGGTATTTTCTAGCTAAAGTTTCTAATGTTTTGTAAATTATCGTAACCTGTTATATATGTATAAAGATATAAAATATACAATAAATTCTCTTTAAATGCTTCCCTTCAGGACCATAATAAAAATTTTAAAAAATGAACATTTAAAGAGGATATGCATTTAAAGAGAAATTTTTATATGAATTCTATATACTTGGAATTGAACGAGAGTATGCATTTAAAGAGAAAATATATAGTGTGTGTATTTAGAGAGAATTGACTGTACATCTTTATCTGAAAAGGTATGCACAGATTTCTAAAAATTACCTCTATCTTGGATAGAATCAACAACAAGTTTATCATTTTTGTTTGAACTAATAATCTGTGATGTTTGATAATTTTGAATTAGTACCAGTAGATCTTTTGATACTAAAGTTCAGATCATTATTTTTCTTTTCTTCTATATTCTTGCTAGTAGTTTTGATTTATTCATATAACAAATAGTAATGAGAAATCTGCTTCTTATCATGAATTATATACTATACATACCAGTTCTTTATTCTGTAAATATAAGAAAGTAATCATTAAAAAATACTCACTTAAAATTCAAAGCAACATTTTATATTAAAAGCTAACCTTTTTTGATAATGATCTAGTTATAGCTACCATCCTTTGATTTTCTACAGATGCAACATTTTTCCAAAAATTGATGATTGATTTCTTCCTAAAAAGGAAGAATATTTTAATCAGTAAAATAGCTAAATAAAACCATCTGAACTGCAATTCATGCATACCCAACTGCAGCCAGGTTTATTTGTATTTCACATGATAAAATTTCCTACCTTGCTCTATGCTTTTACAATTACTATTGGATTTTATTATGATAAAATCAGAAAATTTAAGTTACAATTAAAATTTTTTTTACAAAAATATTATATGATTTAACTATGAGCTGTGTAAGAAGAGCTGAAAGACTATTTTTTGTTTCTGATGTATACTACCATATCACATAAATAAAAATTATATGAACTAAAATACTTTATTAATATTTACATATTATAACAACAAATAACTACTGTCTAAATTATTTTACATAAAAAATTACAAATAATTCAACCACGCATCCAAAACATGTCAGAATGAACTTTCACATCAAGTTTAGGCGTAATGAGATAATATACTAACCTGTTCAAGACAAATCCAGTCCTTCAGTTCGTCCTTCATTTAAACAATGTTGTCTTTGGTTCAAAGCTATTTTTGGACAATATTATTATTACTAAACTATAACCTTTATGAAATAAAGAGTGAATGCATATTTGTTAAGATTAATCTCCACCTATGAAACATATTCACGTTTCTCAGTTTCGATTCCGTTCTTCCCACCTACAAAACATGTGTTGCACATTTTTTCGGCTTTGACTAGTCATCCGCCTACGAAACACGTATTGCACGTGTTTTTTCAGCTTCTCCTGACTTCACCTACTGAAACATACAAAACGTTTCTCAGTTTCACAACACCTATGATACACAAGAAAGTGTTTCGAGGCTATCCCACCTAACAAACATAAGGAGTGTTTCTCAGCTTCACGGGTGGGAACTTGTATTATTGCCAAAGTACTAGAGTGAGAAAAGTAGTGAGAAAGAATATTCTATTTTGAGATATTTATAAATTGAAATATCATAACATATGGGAGTGTTTCTAGGAAAATCAGGTTCCGAGAAATTTTTGACTAAAATTAAGAGCTTAATACATTTTAATCTAATAACATCAAAAACTAAAATGCTCAATTTCGCTAAAAAATTCCCGGAACCTGATTTTCCTAGCAATCAACCCATATTTACTATGATCACATGACCACATGACTGATATCAAATAAGTTGAATCGCGTTCGATCAGCAGTTAAGAATTACGCGTTACATTTTTACATTTTTACCAAAGTATCGAACTTGACCCTCCACATGGTATTAAGTTGACCCTCTTGCCGTTACTAAATAAATAACAATTGTTTTAACAATAAGCTCGGCAAGAGGGTCAAGACAGGATTATGAGGAGGGTTAAGTTTGATACTTTTGCATCAAAGTGGCTCAAAAGGAATCTCAAGGATAATGTTAAGAAACACTAGAAACAACGATCAAACATCTGATTAAGTTAAAACCTCCCAAATGTAATAGTGAGGCGTTTAATTCTTCATTACGAGATCTGATGAAAAATGATGAAGCGATACGTAAAGAATACGAATCACTAAACATGTGGCTTAACGCTGATGTTCCTGAAAAAGTGAAAAATAAGAGATTAAAGGTTAATGATAAAGATAATCGAGCTATTTTCAAGAAAGTAAGAGTTGTACAGTACAATATTTCTTATGGAACACAAACGCAAGCACAAACACAAAATTCAAATAATATAGTAAAAGAAGAACAGGCAGTTTCTACAAATGATAAAAAATCGCAGGAAATAGATATACGAAATTGGGAAGTAAAAAAAAAAGAGGAGGAAATTTTAATTCATCCATCATTTTCACGAATTTCGCAAAAGTTCTCATTCTCGTCATCTAAGCAAGGTTCGTATGTTGAATCAATATTAGAACACGTTGAGAGGGCACTCTTGATTCCTTGTAAACATCTGAAATATATTCCTTTCAACATAGTAAAAGAATTTGCAGTTAAATGCCACCCTCCGCGAAATATTGACTTCTCGGATGCCGATCTACTTTGTCTCTTAAACTTCATTATAAAAAATGTTTCTTTGTTTATGATTCCTAATCCTGATCAAACGCTCTTCCATGGAGAGTATAAACTAAAGCCGTTAGATATTCTTAAATCCTTCAAAACTGAAGCAAGAAATCACCATGCGCACGGAATAACGCAAATTGAAGGTGGTGCGACGAAAAACTTCAAAGACTGTCGACTTTGTCATTAGAATTAGTCGATTGCCTTGGTAAGTTTTGTATGGATATCATTCATACAGTATTTTAAAATATTTATTAACAATTTTTTTTTGTGTAATCTATTGTATAATTATTATTGAAAATTAAACTGGAGCTTAATTCTGAACTCGAGGGACAACGTGTTTCATCAATGAAAAGGAAATATGAAGAAAATGGAGATAAATTTCATGAAAGAAAGAAAAGGATGACAGAAATAGAACTCGTAGAGTTGGTTGATTTTGCTCTTGATATTGTAAATAAACTCAAGTCAACAGATGAAGGACATCTAAGTCAAATTGTGCGACTAGCTGTCGATGAAGACAAGGCATTTGTAAATATTTGGAAATCTTTAGTAACCCGAAAGGACGAGAGTGCAAGGATTCAAAAGTTTATTTCTCTGATGAATGTCTGTTTTGATATGGTGAGTATTTCAGACGTATCTCGAATGTTTGGTATAATATAAGACTTTACAACTTATTTCATAATATTATACTCAACAGAATTTAAAGACCGAGAGTGGAACAATTTGAGAATATTAAAAATCCGACTTTCCTTTTTCGATAATTATCAGCAAGAGCTTTATTCAATGTGAAGTTTAATTTATCAGTACAACAGTTTATATTGCTTAATAAAGTATTATACATAGCCTATCGAATAATTATGTACACATTATAAGTTATCAAATATAAATCTTGATCATACATGTAGCATAGTTTTATTTTCTGATGCGAAGTTAAAAAATAACATGCGCTCAAAGTAGTATATAAATTTTTATTTTTCCGATGCACTGGTTGAAAAACAAAGCCCGATATGGGCAAAATCCCCCTTCTTGGTCGAAGCCAGAGAAAAATTTATCATAAGTAAGAATCATTTACTGTTAACTGCTTTCTGGGCATGAACAAAGTGAATGCTTTACTGACAATTATGCACTGCATTTCGTCATTCCGTTAATCCCCTTAATTAACTTCAGGATTAGCATAGATATCTCCAATACCCATGTGCGAAATAATATTTTTTATAGATGTAAAGTATTCAAAAGTCCGTTAATATATATACATTCTGCGGTCTCGGAAAATTGCCAAGAAAATTTTTATTATTACATGCGAAAAATAAAATACAAAGCTTGGGACTTTGCCCGAAGTTACTACGTTTCTATGCTAGTATCTATATGATTACCTTTTCTTGATTATCTCTTCTACACGACGCTTCTTAGTTGCGGGTTCCTCACTACCTACTATTCTATCCTTTAACAATCCTACTATAACCTCTAAAACCCTCTTTACATTCCTTATCATCTTTGTAAGTGAAATTCGATACTCAGTCCTGCTCGTACAGTAGATGCCCTCGGTGCTATGAAGAATGACGTACCAGTCGGTTCCAGTACTGACTATACCAAAGACGTAATCGGGATCGGGATCGAACGCATCATCAATCTTTCGCTTTTTCTTGTTCATATTTACATTCATCTGGAGGAAATAGCGAAGTTATTAATACCCATGTTCCAGCTTATAATGAGCAAGCGGAGTAGCGAAAAAATACTTACGTCGACATTATAGTAAGTTTTGGCAGATACCCACAGTCGCCTGGTTTTGTTTGCCTTCGGTTTATGCAAATTATTTCCTCTAATATTTCGCTTATAATTTTTTTGATTGCATATTCAACACGGCCGGTGTTTCTTCACCAATTATATCGCCTGAGGGGTGATTACCATACCATCAAGAAGACTTACAGCTGTATGTAAGATAGTAGAAATGTACTCGCAACGCATAGTTTCGTTATTATCTACAACAGGTCCAATGTTTTTTATCCTACGGAGAATGTCATCAATGCATAGGGACACTTTCGCTGATTGGGTGGGTGGCTGTAATACTGTATGTGAGTTCTGAAATATTTTAATAAAGAACCTTCGACGGGAGATTACTACGTGGTGTGAACTGTGGAATGCGAGTTATGTCCCTACTAATGATATCTTATTTCTCCAACACCTCACTCAAATCTTTCTTAGTCTTGTACGAGGAGAACGACCTCAACTTCTTCTCTTTACATTCCTTGGCAAAGTCCGCAAGTCTTAATGCCGGCCCACCTGGCATTCTATAACTGCGAAACTTTTCTTCGGTTAATTTAAGAAAGTCACGGCCTGTAATCCTCCTCCTTTTCTAAAATTTTGATAGCAGTCTCACTAAGCCCTAAGTCCCGCTCCTGCAAAAACGAGATAAGTCCTTCAGTGTCATATTTTTTAACTTCGTCTGCCAGCGTGACCGTCTCATTTCCAACAACAGAGGTAGAGGTAGAAGCGGTGTAGAAAAAGCAAAAGCCACTCATTTTGAAAAAACTTACTTGTTCCTTCTCAAGCAACTCCCTTCTTTTCTCAACCATTTTAAGGTTCATATAAATGTTTTGTTGCTTAGCCTGCAGATCCCAAAAACTATTTACTCCTTTGATTTTTTTTCGTCCTTACAAAGATTAAATTAAATGATAATTTTATAATCGTCTCGCATGTAAAGAAAATGTGACAAAACTCTAAAAACACGACCGATGGACAAGCACGCAACCTTTCCCACTGCCAGCACGCGACCAGCAGGGTAGTCGGTGACAGTATAACCTAAATAAAATATATTTACCTGGAAATTCCTTAAAATCTGTTGCACTTCTTCCCTAATTTCCGACGCTTCAGAATGATATTTGAGAATTTTGTTTAGTTCACCTTTGTATCGACTGTGCTCCATTTCCTCTCGTTCCAAATCGTCTTCTTGTAAACGGAAATCCAAAAAAATTCTTAAGTGAAGGTTTCTCCGATTGCTTCCAAAAAGCTATATATTTTCAAATGATGGGTTAAGCTATAATGCCAAAAAAAAAAAATCATTCCTGCATTTGGCCTTACCACGGTATTTAAGAGCATCGAAACATTCGGGCAATAATTGCATTTTTACTTTTTACGTATGTCTGGTGTGATAACGTCAAACGCGCCGGGCCATAAAAAATTTATAATCACGTGCTATATCTTTATCTGATCCAGAGACTCGGAAACAGGGCTGAAAATAGATGATAAAATTCCGGCAGAATCCGGTATTTTTGAGAAAAATCCGATAAAAATTTCTATATTCCGGATCTTTATCCGAAAAATTTTAAGAAATCTGGAAAATCCGGTAAAAATTTTTCTTTCCGGATCTTTGACGGGTAAATTTTGATTTCTATTTTCAGCCCTACCCGAAAAAATTCCATTTTTATAATAAAATAAAATGAATAAATCGGAATTTTTGCTGTTTGAATTTTTGATAGATTTTATAACACGTGATAATTAACCAATAATAATCACAGATCAACGGAAAAAATTAATTTAAGTTTTGATTATACATCTAATAATTAAGTTACAAAAATAATAGAATTTTCTGAACTGAATGAATTTTGAAATAAAGTTACATTACTTCCTCTTTTAGAAAATAGCATGTAATTATATATGATTGCCAATCTCTTTTTGTATGGTAGAAAGGAGATATAATAAATTTTAAATGATGATAGGCAAAATTTAAGTCTGAGATTACTTAAATATTTTACTATAATGTATTTTAATAATCAAAATAGTAATAAATACAAAATTTTTATCAGAATAAAATTGGAATTTTTGCTGTTATTGTGATAAAAATTTATAATTTAATATCAGAATTTTTTTGGATTTCTGATCTGATTACATTATAATATTACTACTAGGTTAGTTTATACCTGATTAATTAGTATTTTAATTACAAATTTAAACAGCCAATCAGAATTTGCAATCAAAATTCATGATTAATTGAGTTGATTTATTAGTTACGTAGATTGATTGATAAAAAAATATCTAAACATAAAAAAATAGAAAATTTATTATCTTTTATGTTGTTAAAACTTTTTAAGATGCAAAAGAAATAGAATATTTACTTGAAGAGAAAGAAGGTTCTGATAATTCAAATAAAGAAGAAAATAAATTAGTAATTTTTAGATTAATTTCTTTATTTAGAACATAGTATTTTAAAGAGAAAACTCATATAAGAAAATCAAAAGAGTAGTATGATTATATTTTACCAAAATATAATGATATTAGATTTAAAAAAATAATAATTATAATTTTCAGAAACTTGTATCAATTTTATATACTCATCAAATTTTTCAAAATAAAAGTAATAATTCTTAAACTTTTATTGAGTTATAATTTGCAGTTTTTTTAAAAAGATTTAGTTTTATAAATAATATTTTTGAAATATGTTTAAAATTTGGTATTGTTGAAGAAACTATTTATTTATATTGTAAAAAAATAATAGCTGCAATTTTTTCATTAAAAAAAATTTAGTTAAATGTTCAGTAGATAAAGCAAAATAAAATGCATATAAAGAATTTAAAAATATTAGTGAAATAATAATATAATAGAAGCAATAGATAGAAGTTATATAATATTAGTAAATGCTTCATTAAAATAACCTGAAACATATTGAAATAGAAAAAAAAATATTCCATACAATTACAAGGAATTGTAAACCATAAATGTATATTTATAGATTATGAGATTGGGTAACCTGATTCAAATTATAATGCTAAAATATATAAAAATTCATATTTTTATCAAGAATAAATGTTTTTGTAACAATCTGTTATATGTCACAACTTTTTTTTTTTTTTTAATAATTAAAAAATATATATATAAAAATAAGGTTTTTATATGTAAAAGTTAATTTGAAAAACTTTACTTAATGTATTAAAGACAGTTTCATGGACAAAATTATAAATTATAAGCAGTTTTTTGAAATTTTTAAAAAAATTCGTTTGTTTTAGTTACATAACTAATCTTCTGTTTTGATTCTTTTGATTGGATAAAATGAGGTTATTACATGTAACTAGTTGTTAGATTTATTCTTTTATCAAAATATTTCTAAAATTATCAAAAAAATAAATATTTACTTAAAGATTTAACATATCCTTTGTTTACTTTTTTAATTAAACTTTTTACAAATCTTTAAATTCCTTTACATATTCAATTTAATATAATTTATTCCTCACACAGAGTAGTAATTGAAAATACTTTTGATAGACTTAAGAATAAATTTATTTTTTTAAAAAATTTAAATGTTAGAAAAATTTCTATTACAATTATATTAATTAGATGTTGTCAACGGAGCGATTAACCAGTCATAATGAAGTCACGTGGATGACGCAGTATGACGATCTTTTAATCCAGAATTCTGAGAATACTGAGAATCCTGCGAATTCTGA